TTCCCTACCTGGAGTCTCGAGCGGGAATCCTCTTCCTATGGTTGTGGAGGACGCTCAGTGGAGAGGAAGCATGTATAAAACATGTTTCAGACATGTTTCAGACATTTTTTTTTTTTTTTTTATATGTTAAAAATATGGTTGAATCATTTTTAGAACATGTTTTACACAGTTTAAACGCATCTTTAATTCAATGATAGGATTGTGAGAGTGTCCATTGTCATGGCATCCACAATCCTATGGGTTTCACTCCTCCATGTTTGAGTCCGTGCGGGGTCATATCCAGATCCTGTATCTCTCATCGCTTTTGGGCTCTTCGGGCCTGAACCTGGAGGAAGTCTCGAGCGGGAGCATGGCTTGTGAGTGAATCGCGAGAACGTCTCGAGCGGGAGCCCCTCCCTAGGGGAGCTCCGATGCCACGTTCGGGTCCAAACGGGCCATCCAAGACCTGTAGCTGTCATACGTTGTGGGCTTCTCAGGCCTGAATCTGGAGGAGGTCTCGAGCGGGAGCCTCGTTCTTGAAAGAATCGCGAGGAAGTCTCGAGCGGGAGCCGGGGGCGCACAGGTTACACAGGTCCCGCAGATCCAACACGCCGAACAAGACTCACAGGGCCCACTGTTTCCACAGGTCGCACAAGTCCAACAGGTTCCGCACGGCCCACCAGTCCCAAAGGCCCCACGTGTCAAACAGGTCCCACGGGTCGCACAGGTCTTGCAGGTTTCACAGGTCCTACCGGTCCCACAGGCCGAAAAGGCCCCACGGGTCCCACAGGTGCCACAGGCCCCACAGGTCCCACAGGCCCCCGGGACCTACAGGCCCCACAGGTGCGACAGATTCCACACGTCTTACAGGGTTCGCAGGTCCCACAGGTCCCACAGGTCCGACAAACCCTACAGGCCGCACAGGTTTCACGGGTCTGCAGGCCGCACAGGTTTCACGGGCCCCGTAAGTCACTCACAGGTCGCGCAGTCCCCACAGGTCTGACGAGTTCAAGGGGCCTCACTGGTCCCACAGGTCCCACAGGGCTCACAGGTGCCTCAAGTCCCACGAGTTCCACAGGTCCATCCCACAGGCCCCACACGTCGCACAGGTCCCACAGGTCGCACAGGTCCAACAAGCCCTACAGCCCCAAGTCCCCGCAAGTCTCAAAAGCTCCACTGGCCCCGCAGGTCTCAACGGCCTCACTTCGATGCGCCACTTTCGCTTTCGCCTGGGGCCTGGAGAGAGTCCGGCCCCCGACGCCCTTTCGAAAAGCAGCTCAAATTTTGTCTGACAGGTTGGGAGGCCCAGTGCGGGTCCACCCACGGTTCGGAGTAGGCAGGACTATTTCCAGACTTTGTGTAGGCACACGTGGCGGGATAGGGTGCCTTAGAGTGCCTCCGTTTGTATAACTGCTGGTTGTTACCAAAATTGTGATGCTTTATCTCAACAGTATGAAAAAGGGGAGACTTTGTCCCCCAAGTCTTCGAGCATCATGTGAAGATCGTCCTGAATTCAGTTTCTGGCAAGATACTTGCGCACATAGTTTAGCGCTGGCGGGATGTGCGGGATTGCAGCAGCGCATCCCCACCTCCGCACTGCGGAGGTGGGGAGGTGCCTCTGAGGCAACTGGCTGCGGAGTCCGCGGCCAGGTGCCCCAGAGGCACCACAGAGCGCGCCCTGCTAGCGGCACGCATTATGCATTGCACACGCGTTACATCCAGGGCAAATGTCATTGAGAGCGGGATAGAGAGAGAGAGAGAGAGAGAGAGAGGAAGGGAGACGGAGGTGCCGAACACAGCAGCGAGCCATCCTCAGGAGCGCGGCGAGGCCTGGTTCAAGGGACGCCCGCGCACGGACGCCACCTACTTCCAGGAGCACTTTGCCCGGAACAACGGAGGCCGGAGACCCTCCTGCTGGCCACCGTTGCGATCCCCCCCCCCCCTTCTCCCTCGCCCTCCTCCCTGGGCTTCGGACGGGGAAAGTGAAAGTCGTCATCCGTGCGCGCGTCTCCTCGGATCTCGGCCTCCAGGGGCCGTGTGCGGGTCCGGGGGCCGTCCACCCGGGTCGGCACGGAGGGTTGCCCCCCAGGGAAGGGGTCGAGGCCTCCGGGGCCCTCGGGCCTCCTCGAGGCTTTTGAGGGTTTTGAGGTTTTTGGGATGCCTCCGGTTCTCTTTGGGCCTCCTGGAGGCTACTCGTCGCAAGGCTGGATCTGCCTCGAAGGGAAAATCCGATCAGAACGCGCTACTGGTTAGGTTGTACATCTGTATGTCTGGTTCCCTTGAGTGTATATATACATATATATATATACACATACACGTATCACCCCCCGCAATTGCGTGTAAGAGTGAGGGGGCGGTGGTGACGTCGGCAGTCTGCGAGGCTCCGAACAAGCCCGCCGCAGGCGCTTAATTTTGACAGATTATGCAGCGGGCCTGCCGCAGGTGCCGATTTTCTCGTTGAAGCAATGTGAGTGGGTCGCGAGTGCGTCGCGGGGTGGGTCGCGGATGAGTCGCGGGCGGGTCGCGGGTGGGTCGTGGGCCAGGTCGCGGGGGGGACGTCGACGACAAACAACAACGAACTAATAACAAGCAACAACCAACACACAACAAACAGACAACAAACAACAACCAACAACACAAACACCAAACTCCAAACAACACACAACACACAGCAACAACCACAACAACACCACCAACCGCAACAACAACACCGCCAACAACAGCAGCAGCAATAACAACACCAACAACAGCAACATTAATAATAAGACTGTTCGCTCTTGTCTGCGTGCGTGCCACTCAACCTGTATCCCTCGATGACCACCTTCTTCGTCTTCGATCGCGCCCTCTTGCGGGTATATCTTTTTTACAGGCAACGTGTATTTCATGCAGCCCCTACGGCAGGGGAAGAGAGGAAGGATGGACGAAAGGGACAAGGATGAAGGAGGAGGATGGAGCACGAGAGAGAAAATAGCAGGAGGGGGGTTGAGGAGCAGCAAACACGTGGCAGAACCAGACGAGCAGATCGGGCGGGTAGATCCTGACAGGCGGGTCGGGAAGGCGGGCCGCAGGCGGGTTGCTGAAGCGTGCGTCCTGCATGAATCGCGAGTCTCGAGCGAGAGCGCGATTCCCGAGTGAATCGTGAGGCAGGCCAGAGCGAGAGCGTGATTCTTGAGCTTCGAGGGCGCGGGGTCGGAATCAAGTGCGAAGAGGCCCCGCGCGAGAGCGCGATCTCTGCGTAAATTGTGCGGACGTCCCGCGCGAGATCGCGATTTGGGAAGAAGTGGTGGGGGACTATCAGGCGGGAGCCGTTGCTGCTGTAACTCGGGGGCCAGGGGCTTAATTCTGAGACCCAAGACTTTCCCTGATACAAAAACAGGGTGCGAGTCGCGGGATAGGGCACTTCAATTGAAAAGTACAAGGTGCCCCGGAGGGGGGGACCAACAATAATTCTTATTCAGTCGTGAGAGTTCCACAACAACAGCACATACAACACCACCACCAACAACAACATCAGCAACACCAGCAACAACCACCACAGCAACAATAGCAGCAGCAACAGCACCACGACCAACAACAACACCACCACCAACAACACAACTTTTAAGACTGTTCGCTCTTATTTGCGTGCGTGCTATTCAACACGTTCATCCCAGACCTTCGATACCTGCCCTCTGCGCCTTCGGTCGTGCCCCCCTGGGGGTACGCATCTTTCCTAGCTGCGACGTGCCTGCAACAACGTGTATTCCCTGCGGCCCCTGCGGCAGGGGAAGAGAGGACGGATGAAAGGAAGGGACAAGGGGGAAGGAGGAAGATGGAGCACGAAAGCCTGGTCAGGGCGGAAGGGGCCCACGGACCGTGAGCGGAGGAGGGGGAGGAGGAGGAGGAGGAGGAGGACGAGGAGGAGGAGGAGGAGGAGGAGGAGGAGGAGGAGGGGGAGGAGGAGGAGGAGGAGGAGGAGGAGGAGGAGGAGGAGGAGGAGGAGGCAGGAGGATGGTCAGAAACAGAAAGCGCGCGGCAGAACCAGACGGGCAGACTCGGGCGGGTAGAGGCCCTGACGGCAGGGCCGGGGAGGCGGGCTCCGGCGGCCGGGTCGAGCGGGCGGGTTGCCAAAAGCGTGCGTCCTTGCACGACTCGCGAGGAGGAAGTCTCGGGCGAGAGCGCGATTCCGAACTATGCCGGGAGGGAATCCAAAGCGAGAGCATGGTTCCTGAGTGTCGAGGGCGCGGCGTCGGAATAAACCGCGAGGGAGTCCCACGCGAGAGCGCGATTCCGGTTTACACTGCGAAGGAGTCCCGCGCGAGAGCGCGATTTGGGAATAACCTGTGGAGACTTATCATGCGGGAGCCGTTGTTGTTGTTGTTGTTGTTGTTGTTGTTGTTATTGTACACCGGGGGCCAGGGGCACATTTTGGTGACAATCGTTTTCTCTTGTAAACAACAGGGTTCGAGCCTTGGGAGAAGCATTCTAGCTGCAAAGGGCAATGTTTACCAGAGGGGGGAGGATCAGCAATACAGAAATGAGAAATTAACAGCAACAACAGCAACAACAACAGCAACAAGCCCAGTGGGACGTGAGGCTTGTTTGCGTGCTCGCACGATTGCTAACCCCGGCTTCTCGGCGAAGCCCCAGGGGCATTCCGTTGAGGCCAGGGGCGACCTGGTCCTGCTGCCCAGCAATCCTAACCGCGATCTGAATGGCCGTCTTGCCGCCAAGGGGGACTTTTTTTTGGAACGGCGGTGATTCGGAAAGGATGGGGTCACCGCGTCAGAGGCTGGAACACTCGCGAAGCGCGTGACCTGGAATACCCATCGGGTAACGCCGTCACCCGCGAAGATTGCGCCGGCTTCCAGGACTCATTCGAGAAGCTGCACGGCAGTGCTCACTGCATGTAACCCCAGTATTACTTCGAAGGTCCACCGTATTGGCCTTTCGCGCTGACAGATCACCGCAAGAAGGGGCATGATAACTGGGCACGGCTGGCGATGACAATCCTGCTCCCCCGATGGCAGGGAGTGTTTTCCTGGGCCCACAGTGCCAAACCAGATCCCTCGCCTTGAGTGAGACTGGACCACATCGTCCAGGTCTACGTCAATAGCCTGCCCGAGCTTCAAGAGCGGGAGTGCATTAACATGGTCACGACTTGGTTCGGCATCCTCTGGCTGGCAAATGCCACCATGCTGTCCGCCAAAGTGCTTTACATTGACTCAGCAACCGCTAAAAGTTCGTTGGCTCGTTCAAGCGGGCGCGTTGGCGGTTCGTCTTCTAGCCCGTGAGCTGGCACGGGATTTCATCGCCGTCGGCGGCGGTTCGGAGGTGTTCTACAATATCTTCGATGCCACCGTCATAGTGCCACGCGCATTCGAAGTCGAACTGGTGGACGCACCCAATCGAACCTGGTACCGCACTAAGGTGATCGTGGCCATGTGCAGGGAACAGTCCTTCATGCCGATGAATAACCAGAGGGCCGATGACTGGATTCACTGGCATCCCCTTAACAGGGGCGTTCGACTCCACGTGAAAAGCCCCTGACAGGCTCAAACCCCTTCAGGTGAGCATCACGTATGTGCCATCAGCCAGTCTTGGTCGGTTAACCCTCACTCGGGGACAGTTTACGAACAGAAACTGGAGGATCGCAACACGAGGTTGGCTACGCCCCTCATAGTGCATTCTGGTTTTGCCTGCCAGGAAGCACTAGGTCGGTTTAACGGGATTGACGATCATTCGGCCTGCAACAAGCCGAGCAGCGACCGCGATCGCGACATGGGGACTTGGGGTAACAGCGTGGAAAAGGACGACGCCTGGAGCGATGACTGCTTCGTGGAGCCTGACGCCAGGGATCGCACGTAGTGCACCCGGACACGTTGCCGTGGGCAGGCGTTCATGCGCATGGATGCAGGCAGGGGCAACGAGAAGGGCAAAATGCCAACGTCGGCCCCCCTCCAAGCGAGGGGGACGTGAGTGTCAGCTAAGTGTTGGACATTTTCCAATTTCTTCCCTCTCGAAGGACTGTCGCCTAACCCAGATACATTCAATCGGATGTATTCAAATAGGGCAGGTGCCGCATGTAGTAATCGTGCGGGGATCCCGCCATTTTGCCAGCTGCGTGTTGGGCCGCTCTGTCGGCACCCCATACATGACATCCACTTCAGTCCGTGCTACTCGCGCACTGTCATTTGGACGGCGCCAGCTAACCAGCTGTCTCGCATATTAGGTGAATAAATACACTTTGCTACCAGCTCGAACGCTGCCCATTCAGCTTTTATGTGCAGCCGTTCAGAGATTTATATAAAGTTTCACGTGGCTGGCCCGACCTGGAGTACCAGGTCGAAAGGGCGTGCTTCAATATGGACCCCAGGCTACTGAGTAAGTGCCGACCTATGGCTCCAGTGTTTATGGCAGGACGCACACACACACACGCACCTGCGAACTTGTGCTGTCCGTTCACTGTAGAACAGAGTCGTGTCCTCATTACCACCGTCGAGTTCTGTTTGTAGAAATGATGAGGAGGAGGCGGAGCGGGAGGAGGGAGGGGAGGAGGAGGAGAATCGGGAATGGGAGGGGAAAGTGGAGCAGAAGGAGACTGGGAAACGGAGGGCAAGAAATCCAGTCGAAACGAGACCAATCGCGTAGCGATCTCTGGAACATGCTACCCTGAACTTGGCTAACAACACGAAAAAGATGACGAAGGGACCCTCCAAGACCGTGCGGCCACGTCCAGCTCAGACTTTGGTGCTGCTGGCACTGCTCTTCGGCTGCCGGCATAGCTGGGCCGCTTCTGCCGCTGCCGACCCAAGCCCACGAAACAAGGGTCCCAAGTCTGTGGCCGCCCCAAGGGGCAGGGAACGCCGCGGCCGTGGACGCGGCAGACCTTGCAGGCGCTGCTCCTCCTCCGCCACGC